TTTACAATAGCCAAAAGATGGAAACAACCTAGGTGTCCATCAACTGAGGAATGGGTAACCAAACTATGGTACATAAACACAATGGAATACTATGCAACCCTAAAGAATAACCTAGAATCTGCAAAACACCACATAATGTGGATGAACTTGGAGGACATTATGCTGAGTGAAATAAGTCAAACACAGAAGGACAAATATTGTATTAGTCCATTATTGTAAAAGTCAAGGAAAGGTTTAGATATGGAAAGAAATTTTCTTTGTTGGTTACCAGGGATGGGAGGGGAGGGGAGGGGAGGGAACACTGTTAGATAGGTAGAGATAAGTATTGATTTGGGTATTGATAAGTATTGATTTGGGAAGAGAAGGGCAATGTACCAAATGGGAGTGATCAACATGGTGGCACTGAGGAAGAGGAAGACATAGAGAGGTACATGGGAGGTATAGATGACAAAGATGAACTCTTTTGCACATACAGTACTGTGTTGTCAGTGAAGGCAAACATGGGTATACGGGTGGATAGATGGGTGGAGAGGCTGAACTATCAGGTATGTCTATGAAGCAGGGAGCGTACCAAAGACCAGGTACAGGGTTGGCAGACAGTGGTCCTATAAGTGTATTTGTATGATCTGAATTCCCAGGTGTATAGTAGAGCTGACAAGGGACAAGGTTGTAGTCACTTCTTGGCCACAGCCAGCTACCCAGAGGGACTGAGTAGTTGAACCTGTGGGCTCGGGAGCATAGTTACAGGGGACACCAATCTCAATTGGCATAACATACTACATAGAACATTGTTCCACCTCCTACTTTGGCGAGTAGCGACTGGGATCTTAAAAGCTTACAAGCAGCCATTTAGATGCAACGATGGATCTCTTCTTGTCCAGAGCAAAGAAGAATAAAGAAAATCAAAGATTCATGGAAAGAATTAGTCCTAGCAACTGATACACCATGCACTCTGCAGCCTATACGACCATGAGACCAGAAGAACTAGATGGTACCCGGCTACCACTGTCAACCACTTGGAGGGGAATCTGTGTAGGAGATCATGGATAGAGAGGGAGAACAATGTGGTACAAAACTCAAAATCATTTAGACAAAAAAAGGGGGGGGGGGACCAGGTTTGCTGGTCTGATAGAGCCTGGTGGAACCACTGAGACTATGGCCCCTAGCTGCCCTTCAGATCTGGAATTGAACCCACACCTGTGGCTTCCAGCCAAACAAAAGACAGGCATATGAGTTGAACATTTACCTGAGGTAGATACACTCCTTGGAGAGAACAATCATGGGAGAAAGAAGGGCTACTTATGCACAGGGAGACAGCTGGCAGGAGTGCATGGAGGGATGGACACAGGGAAGAGGTAACTATGGGGAGGAAGTGGGAGGGGAGCTGTTGCATTGTGGTAAATCGTAGTCAGTGTCATGAGACAAAGTGTATGTGAACTGCTGTATGGAAAGTGAATTTGCTCTGTAAATTTTCCCCAAAATTACAATATGTGTGTGTGTGTGTGTGTGTGTATAAATTATATATATGTATGAATGTAAAGCACCTTAAGGATTTCAATTCAGTAGGTCTGTGATAAGGCCTGTCTGCACTTTAACAAAACCCAGGAGATTCTCTGGTCCACAGATCATACTTGAAAGTCAGACTGAATTGGTTTCAAATCCCATCTCATTTGCAGTTTGCTACCTATATACTATCTTGGTTTTCCTATTCACAGCTAGCAGTAATCTCTTCCTCTTCTGATCTTCCCTTAAGTATGGTGCTCATCCCTAGCTGCACATTAGAATCTCCTGAGATTTTTAAGAAATATTGTGACTCAGGCCTAGTTCACTGCTTCAGCAGTATCTGTCTCAGCCTAGTTTACTGGAATCTCTGGAGAGGGGCACGGGCATCTCCCTGGATGGTGAGTGGAATCTGCTGTGTAGCCCAGGTGAGGCCCCCTCCTCTTATCATTGATGCCTTCATGACTCTATCCACATCCCATTTCTTATTTCTCTCTCCTTTTGGCTGGACTGGAGTCACCTTTGAGCCTCCACTGCCTCAGTTTAATGTGTTTCACAAACACACTCAATAAAGGATTTTTAACTAATGAAACATTTTGCCCTCTGTCAGTTCAGCTTCATAGGTACCATACTATTGCCTCAGACACAAGTGATACTTTTTTTTTTTTTTTTTGACTAAAGACACAAGCAAGTCCTTTCTTAACCATATTTTTTTTGTGGGGGGAGGGGCTAGCTCTTGGGTTGCTTCTGCCTTTAGTCTACTCTGTGTGCAGCACTCATGTTAGTACGAGTGACTAGAGAGAGAGGAACATTTGGGGTTACAGCGAAAGTACTGAGTTGAGTTGTGGGATGGATGGGTTGCCCAAGTGAGCTGTTGAGAGCTACAAGGGCTGCACTTGTCAGGCTTCCATATACTGTGCCACTCTCTGCCAGCTCCTGGTGCTCCACTGTTGGCAGCACAGGGACCTAGGAAAATCTCTCAGGATGGAACATCTTTCCTCTAAAGCTTCTTGGCGCCATGGTGGGCAAGTGGAAGCAGGCTTGGTCTCAAGCAAAATTGTGAAGCGGATGAGATTTTCCTCAGGTGCCTAGTCTTCCTTTCTTTCTCTTTCCCTGGACCTTGTCACCTCCCCAAAGGCCAGTGTTCACATCTATGCCTTTTCTCTTCCCCCTCCTACTTAAGTCTGCTTCTAAGAAAGGTAAACTTATTTACACTAAGTTGAATATTTCTAATCAAGTTAAGTGTGCTACCCAGTCCAGGGGTTGGTTGTTTACTTGTTTTTAAATCAAAGAACACACGCTCACTTAGAGGAGTGTTTCAAATTAAGGCACTTTAGCTGTCATTGTGGATTAGGTATGTTTGAGGATAGTGGGGTTTCTTTTCTGAATTCCTGAAGCTTCAGAGTCTGCCTACTCTGAAATTCCAGAGGGGTGTGGGAGAGCACCTGCTTTTGGAGTAGTTGCTGCCTCTGTTTTAGAAAAGAGAGGATACTGCCCTTGGGGAACCTACCTTCAAGATACCCCTTAGGAGGTACCAACAGAAGGTCTCATGTGCTCCCACCCCTTGCCAGATGTGGATGAGTGTGTGGAGGGGACCGACAACTGCCACATTGATGCTATCTGCCAGAACACCCCACGGTCATACAAGTGTATCTGCAAGTCCGGCTACACAGGAGATGGGAAACATTGCAAAGGTGAGGCTGAAAGGGCACCTGGAGAAGGGGCGCTGGCAAGGGAGGGGAAACCAGTGCCACTGTGGGCAGGTGGGGACACTGTCCATCACACGCAGGCCTGAAATCCTCACTCGTGTGGAAGAGGGCTGCATCTTCTAATTCACATTTTCTAATTTGCACAAAAGCACCTTACAGACTCCTGAGGCCCTGGTGAGAATAGTTCACAGCCCCACAGTCTGCTGAGAGGTAGAAATCAGAATCGTAGGACCAAGGCCTGAGGTTCCTTGAGATTGGATCCTCCATCTTCAGACCCTTCTGCCACACCCCCAAAGGATGGGAACAGACAATTGACCCCAGGGGAAACTCATGCTATAAACAAACACTTCTCTTCCCTTGTAATTAAAGCAATGCAAATTAAAGCAGCCTTGAGATGTTATTTTAAATTTATGACCTTCAGTGTTGGTGAGACTTCAGAAGAGATGTACACTCATTAATTCTTGGCATGATAAATTGAAAAGTGATTCCGTAGTACCTAGTAGGAATCTTAAAAGTTATTTATACCCTTCAACTCAGGAATTTCATTCTTAGGAACTTATTCAAAGGAAATTCAAAGAAACCAAATAATATGTGGATGAAGATGTTCTTTGATGGATAATTTATGATAGTAATAAGTGGAAGAAACTGAATGTCTAACAATAGAGGAAAAGGATTAATAAATTATGATACAGGAACACAATGGAATATTCTGCAATATTTATAATGCTAATTAGAAAGCCTGGGTGGAAACATGAGAAACTGTTTAAGACAAGTTTAAATGAAAAGAACAAAATGGAAAATGGTTTATAGGCTATGAAAGTAATCGTAAACACACACACACACACACACACACGGAAGATTGTATTAAAAAACCCACAAGGCCAATCCCAGAAGTGGGGACGGGGCACGAAGGAGGGTTCAGCTAAGCCCTGTCTTTGTTTCTTTCCCCACAGATGTGGATGAGTGTGAGCGAGAGGATAATGCAGGTTGTGTGCACGACTGTGTCAACATCCCGGGGAATTACCGATGCACCTGCTATGATGGATTCCACTTGGCACACGATGGGCACAACTGTCTGGGTGAGCAAGAGAGAATGTGAGGAGAGGGTGGGCTCTTGTGGGGAGCGAAGTGTTTTCAGCATTTCTCATTTCCCAGGCAAGAAGATCAAAAGAGCCACATTCTCACACACAAAAATAAGAATGAGGTCGATCCTCTTTGAGAGTGTCCACTAAGGATGATATAATCCTGCTACTGGGAGGAAAGCATGCTGCTAGAAAGTGCCAGGGTCAGAGCTGAGCATAAATGTGTTTTGCCACAGGGTGGTGAAGGAAGCATGAGGGAAGATGCTTTGGCTCCAGACAGATCCCAGTTCTGTGGTTTACAGCTGTGAGGCCTTAGGCAAATCAACTAATGTCTGGGAGTCTCAGTTTCTTTATTTCTAAAATGGGATGATAATGAGTCCCTGATTGCTGCAAATGGTTAATGCACTCGGCTGCTCACCAAAAGGTTGGAGGTTCAAGTCCACCAGAAGTGCCTTTGAAGAAAGGTCTTGCAATCTACTTGAGAAAAATCAGCCATTGAAAACCCTATGGAGCATAATTGTACTCTTGACACACGTGGGGTCGCCACGAGCTGGAATCCACTTGAGGGCAACTGGTTTTTAAAGCCTCAAAGGGCTGCTGGAGGGATCACCATGAGAGAAAGGACCATGTACAGTCCTTAGCAGACATATGCTCAATAAATGGAAGGAGTGTTGATTATGGTGCTTACCCTGCACTCCAGGGAGCCTGGCCCTTCCAGACTGCTTCTCCCCCAGCTTTCCCTGCAATTGCCATTCTCACCTTCTCCTCACTTTTGAAGCCTCAGTCAAATTTGATCCCATTTGTCCCAAGAGCAGGATCAGATAAAAGAGAATCTCTAGGGTATTGAACTCAATTTTGGTCTCTGCCAATTTTGGAAAATTACTGGGACCAAATCACACTCTCTTACAAATAGAAAAACTGAAACCATAGCAGAAAAGAATTTCAGATTTGAATCTTTCCCAAACTTTGTGTGTTGCCAAAAAAAAAAAAAAGAGGACTGGAAGAATAGAAGATAGGAGTAATGTCCAGAATACAAACTGGCCAGACACTTACCTCCTCACCTGACCAAACAGATCCATTTTCTGAAGTCCCATTGGCCTAGGAGAGCCTCCTTACTACAGAGCTGCCCCTAAACCCAGTCACACCCCATCCTTGGACCAGGCTATAACTTTCCACTCCCAAACCAGGCCTGTAAACCCTGGTCCCTCTGCACCCTTGCCCCCAGCCCTGGCCACCTCTCCTACCACTCTAGCTATCAGGAAGGGCCTTACTCCTTGCTTGCCCAGTCACCCTTGAGGGCCTCTTGGAACTCCTTTGGAAAGAGAAGCTGCAACATTTGGACCAAGACAGTTAAGTTGCCTATAAGACTGGGGACTTGAGTTCCTCAGTTCATTAGCTGCTTTTGATCTTTCTAGGCCCTTAATTCTTCCCAAGCCTTGTTTCCCTAAATGGGTTTTGGGGAGAGCTAACAATACCAGAAGGATAAGAGAATGAGTAGGTAGAAAAGGGGTCAGGGAGAGGAGATATCAGATTTTTGAGCCTGGGCTACTGAGGGTTCAAGATCAAAGTCTCAACCCTATGCATGGCTCTTAGGAGAACCCTGAGAAAGCTGTCTATGCCCTGCCTCAGTTTCCCCACTGAAAGTTGGAGGAAAGAACTTGGCTAGAATAGCAAATCCACAAGATTGGAATAGAATAGAGCGCACAGAGAAGGATTAACTGTAGAACAGGACAAGAGCAAGAAGATGGAATGGGGAAAAGTAGGGGTGTAGCTAGAGATGGGGCAGAGGCCTGAATAAAGCTTTTCTAACAGGTACACTGAACCGGGCAGGAGCCAGCTGAATCTGGGCCCCTCTGTCTTTGGCTAGAAGGGGAAAGGGTGGGGTTAGGCCCTCGGCAGGATGGGAAGGGAGAGGCAGATGAGGCACACAGGAATTCAGATTCCAGTAGTTCCATCTGGGGACTAATATTCCCAATGCTTCCTGGGCCAGAGCCAACTGAGGAGCGCTGTAGGCTTGGGCTGCAGTAGCTAGCATAGAGGCAGAGTCAAGATGCTGCAGTGGGAGTCCCAGAATGAGCTTGGGTCTGGGGGTGGTGATTTTTGGGTGAGAGTCTACTGCTCCCCCTTCCCTATCTAGGGTGTGGCCTGGCAGCTGTCCCCCTATCCCTCTCCGCCAAGCTGCTAGACTTTGTTTTGTTAAACCAAAATAGGAGAAAGGCTAGGGAATATGGCAGTAAGCCCAGGCATAGGGGGAGGGGAGAGAGGGCCTTTTCACAGAAAGGGCCCCTGCCCCACAAAGAGCCGAGGTCCTGCCTTTCCTCACCTGCCCTCCAGCCTCAGCACCATGGTCATGGCCCTTCCAGAACTCAGCCATTTCCTAGGCTCCCTGAGTATTCAACAACTGCTCATCTCAACCAGCTGCCACCCTGTTACCTTTCCCTGACCACATCTCCATCCTTACCCTCATTGCGGTCCCCCCTGCAATGATCTCCTGTGCCCTCAGACCCAGTGTCAACAGGTTAGGGAAAGAGAGGCAAGTCCTCACCTAGATAAACCAGGTTCAAATGTCCCCTCCCCACTTTCCTAGTCCCCAGCTCTGTCCTCTCATGGTGGCCTCCCCAGGTTCAGTAGAACACTAGCTAATGAGGGGGTGAGAACTGCTTAATGCTGGGCTGTGGGGAGGTGTTGGATTCTTAAGACTACTCTCAGCCTTTGGTGCTGAAGCCCTGGGGCACTCCCTGGCCTCTCCCGCATAGACGTGGATGAGTGTGCTGAGGGCAACGGAGGCTGTCAACAGAGTTGTGTCAACATGATGGGCAGCTATGAATGCCACTGCCGGGAAGGCTTCTTCCTCAGTGACAACCAGCACACCTGCATCCAGCGGCCTGAAGGTAAGCCCCTGCTCTGCCCAGCCCAGGCTTCTCTGCCAGTTTGCTTGGGACCTTTTCCTCCTTGCCCACAGGTCACCCTCTGTTCTCAACCCAGTCACTTGTCCCTCAACCCAAGCACTTGTCCTTCAACATAGTCACACCCTAAGGGCTCCATGAACACTCTGTAGAACAAACAGAGAGAGAATTCATTTGGGGTTGGGGTCAGTGTGGGATTGAGGCTACAGTGGGATATCTGATAGCCTTAAGTGGATGGCTGAGCTCAAGCTGCTGCTTACCTGAGGTGGCTTCATGAATGTCTTATCCCTGGGGTTGGGTTGGGGGATCAGGCAAGAATATCTACAGGAATAGACAAGTTGTCTGTTTCTGTGTCTCTCCCCCACCACACTAGACTGTGACCTCCCTGAGGGCAAAGACTATGTCTATTCATCTTTGTATCCCCAGCACCTTACCTGGGTGTAGTGCAAGTTTAATAAATGTCGTATAGGTCCCACAGTACTTATTATTGGTACCTATCACTCCCCACTCACACTATAGATTTGACGGTTATTTTATCTTTTTCTTGGTTTGACTGTAAGCTCTTTGAGGGAAGGGACATCTTATATTTTTCTGGGTCCTTCCTAAACCCCTCTGTATCTAGCACAGCACTGGATGAAGAATAGGGTGATCATGTAGGTTTTCTCTGGGAATGAGTGTCAATAACTATTAATCCATCATTCAGAATGGCTGCTGACTTATGCTTATCAGCACCCAGCTCTATGAGCAGAACAGGAGGCCTGTGAGGGGGAGAGTCAGGGCCCTCCCCATGTGGCCACCTCAGTTGAATTCTCCCAGTTACCTAGACCCCCCAACAGCCCCTTCTCATGCCTCCTCCTCTAGGTGTCCCGGGGCACAGAGCTTTCACCCCCTCTTCTTCCCTTTTAGAAGGAATGAACTGCATGAACAAGAATCATGGCTGTGCCCACATTTGCCGGGAGACACCCAAGGGGGGGATTGCCTGTGAATGCCGCCCTGGCTTCGAGCTCACCAAGAATCAGCGGGATTGTAAATGTGAGATAACAGGGATGGTGGGCAGGGAGGAGGGGAGACAGATGAGGGAGGTGTGGCCTCAGCAGCTAGAGCACAGGGCTGGGAGGAAAAGGGAGCAAGGGAGAGGTCCATGTTGTGGAGAATGGTCGTGCCCAGAGGGAAGAAAGCTGACAGGCTCCTTTCCCCTTTGTGCACAGTGACGTGCAACTATGGTAATGGTGGCTGCCAGCACACTTGCGATGACACAGAGCAGGGGCCCCGATGTGGCTGCCACGTCAAGTTTGTGCTTCATACTGACGGGAAGACATGCATCGGTGGGTGAGGCCCGGGGAGAACCCAGTCCACCAGTGATGGGGGTGGGGGTGAGGGTCCTTGGGCACCAGGGATCGGGGCACATGGAGCCCAGGTACTGGGCAGAGTGATGTGAGGGGGCTGAAGACCCAGACAATGCCAGGTCTAGTGAGGATGGCTCTAAGAGGGACTGAAGAGCTAACTTGGCTCCCTCCCACTCCCGAGCCTTTGGTTCCACTGCCCTACCCCCAGGAGCCTCACCCTCCACTTATCCCAGGGTTGTTGCCAAACTGAGAATAATTAGCAGAGGTGCCTACTGCTTGAGGCTTTGGTTGAGAAGGGGGAAGAGAGCCGGGGATGTGCAGCTGATTTGGCCTGACCAGAGGCTCTAGTTGACTATCATGGTCCAATGGGAGTTACCACAGCCCACTGCTGACACTCTGGGACTGGGATGGGGCAGGTGCTCTTTTGGGCGACCACCAGCTCTGACCTGACAGATGGGGACCCCTGGCTCCAGGTTATCTTTTTCATCTTTATCCTTTCTCTCCTCACTCTTTTCCTCTAAGCTCCCATTCTATTCCCCATATCTTAGCCCCCCACTGCCTACTATACACTCCAGATTCCAATGGTACTCCTTCTCAGCTCTACCTGTGGGTCTCTCACTTCCTCACCAACCCCAGCCTTCCATCCCTCTCGCCCTAGTCTGGGGCCTTCTTAACCTCTGCACCCCTTTTCCTGAATTCCTTGGCCATCCTTCACATATCTTCATGTACCATAGATGAGTTTAATTCCTTAATTCCTTAAGTCTTTAGTGAAGGCCAATGACTGGTCTCCCAGAGTGCTAGAAAGATGGTGGGACAAGGTGTTCCTATGGAAAAGTGGAAAATGAAAGGGCAGCATTTAGAGGCGTGCTTGCTCTCTAGGCATGGGTGTGCATGGACAGCTGTTCATCTGGTGGCCTACAACATGCCGTGGATGGGAAGGTGTGGAAATGGTCACTCTGTGTGAAATTGTATGGAAGCTGGGACATGGGACCCAGCTTGAGAACCAGCTGCCCGCCTGCCTTTCCCCAGACACAAGGACAGGGGAGCAGGTGATACTCAGGGACCTGCTCCAGGAACTTGCACACACGGCTTGAAAGTTCTCCTTTATTTTAATTAAGATCTTTCCTGCTACATGTTTCCTTCTGAGCTAACTCTTCAAAGACCCTGGAACATTTTTGGGTCTTCACATTGTCTTATCTGGGCTGGTTTGTTCTAACTCCTTTCATTTTTCCTCATAAGCCTAATTTTTCAGCTTTTAAAACCTCTAACCACCTCCTGAACACACTCACACACATCCCCAGAATCCAAAAGAAACTGCATGCAGTCCCCAAAGAAACGCTGCATGGAGCAGGACAGAGGTGGGGGCCCATGAGTATGAGGTCTGCTCCCTCTCTGGCTTCCTTCTACTCAGATAGCCTGACCATGGCTGCTTTTGAAGATATCCCTTTAAAGCTTGCTCCCCTCTAACCCAAGACCCATTCCACTATCTAGCCTGTGGCCAAGTGAAGCAGAGAACAAATGAGGCTCTTCTAAGATTCAGAGCTATTTTCTTTTCTAGTTCCTCTCCTTCTTCTCCAGTAGAACTTATTTGACCTTCTTGCCCTGTCTTATTTTTCTCGCCAGCCTTGGTGGAAGGAAACATCGTTGTTTGGGGCCATCTAGACATTCCGATTTGGGAGTCTGTGAGGCTTGAGGTTGCATTCTAGCTTTGCCATCAGCGTGCTATGTGGTATTGGGCCCAGGATTCCCCCACTTGGAGACTCAGTTCCCCTCAGTCACTTGATAGGAGACAGGCTTCTTCGAGGACACCAGGCAGGATAAGACTTGGGAATGAGGTTGCTGTAGGGATCTCAGGGCTCTGGGGCTAGTTGTTTGGGTCTATAGGGTGGAGAAGGGGGTGGGGAGGGGGCTGGGACCCCTTGGGCCACAGTGGCTCTTGCCCAGCATCTAAACAGTTTTTTTACAATGTCAAACAGGGGAAAGGCGGCTAGAGCAGCACATCCCCCCTCAGGCCGTTTCTAATGGTAAATATGTCTGCTCTCACCGCTTGCTCTCACTGGCTTGCTAGGGGAAGGGCTAACCCGCTGGGGCTCCCACTAACAGCATGCCCATTAGGCCTGCCTGACTGGGCCCCAGTCTGCCATCAGGGCTCCCCTGGCAGCCCAGGCACTGGGCCCACCGAGTGACAGGAAGCTTGAGTCCTCAAGCGCTGGCCTGGAGCCTTCATGTTGATGTGATCTTTGTCCTGCCTCCTTCTCTCCTATCGGCTCTCTCCTCCCATGTTCTAACACCCCATCTCCTCCTTGGCCATCCGCCCCTCTCTCTGCCTTTCTGCACAGCCAGAGACCTAGCCAGCTCCATCATGGCCGCTGTGCCACCTAATAGAGAGACGGGCTAGGGTTAGATACCATGCCCTCTTGGGGGCTTCTTTCTTGGATTCTTGCCCACATTAGGTCACAGTCCATTCTCTCCCACTCTAATGGCAAAGAGCATGGCCTTTGGGTTCGGACAGATCCGAGTTTGAATTCTAGCTCTGTCACCTTCTAACTGTATGACCTCAGGCAAGCTGCTTTCCTCTCTGGTCCTCAGTTTCTGCTTCTGTAAAATAGGGAGAATGACAGTCCTCCCTTAGAAAATTGCTGTGATGATTGAGATAGTGCATGTGGAGCATCTTGTAAGCACCGGGCACAGAGGAAACAGAGTAACTGGTGGTTATTAACTGCAACCCAGAGAGCAAAGGGCTGTTGGTACATCAACCTACTAGCCCCACCCTGCCCAGAGTGGTGAGCAGCTCTGCCCAGCTTCCTGGTCCAATCCTAGGAGAGACAGCATGCCAGCTGTGCTGTTTCCCATCCTGGACCCCTCAGAAGCTACCCAAACTTGGGAAAGATCACTGTTCCCCTTGCCCTGTAGCAGGGCTTGGGGTGGAGAGACCTCTTCTTATGCTAAGAGCACTCTTGGGGTGATGCTGGGCTTCCTTCCCAGGTTCCTCCCATGGTCTTGGGGAATCATAGGAGAAACTAAGGAGAGAATGACACACAGGAGATCGATCCCACTGTGGCTATTTCCAAACCTGGGCATTTGAGGGGCCAGCAGGGCTCACAGGCAGAGTTGGGGTTCCAGGCTTTGCATTTAGGAGTTAGCAATTCCAGAAGACACTAGTACTCTCTAGTGCTTGTCTCATCCAATTTTCCTGATTCAGAGAACCACTTTCCTCTCATACTCAGCTGAGGCCTCTGGATTTTGTCTCTTTGATGGGAGAATTCTAGGCTTCCTCAGAGCAGTCCCCTCTGTCTGGGCCGTGCACTCTTGTGAGCTGAGAGTTTTCCTTTTGACTCATTTCTCTCTTGGGCTACAGTTTAAACCTGTTTTCCTCCTGCTCTGAGTTCAGAAAATAAAGTGTCACACCCTCCCTCTGATCTCTCAGTCAAGAGAGAGCAGCAGAAGGGACTTAAATAAGGATTTTGGTTTTATCTAGTTTTGAGGTAATTCTTCCACCTACATTCTTAAGACCTTCTTCTTCCTCTAGACTTTGCTCCCTTTGCCCCTTCTTGTACTCCAGACAATACCTCTTCACTAGGAAAGTAGAACCACCACCACCAGCTAGCTTATCTCCATCTACAACAACAACAAAAAAAAGGGGGTGGGGTGGAGTGGGGCTTGAGAGGAGCTGAAGGTAGACATGAAGGGGCCAGGAAATGACTGAGTATATATGCCATCTCCCCTAATGAATAGCCAGGCTTTGAACTGGGATCTTCTTTAAGACAGCTGGGCAGAGAAGGGGAGATGCATTGATGACCTTCCCTTGGCTGTCAGGAATCACCAGCATCTCTCTTCCCAACCCACCTATTGTAAGATGATCCTGAAGAGGTGGTCTGTGGAAAGAGGGAAACTCCTCTCAGCCCCTTCTTGTTCCTTGGCAGCCAGAAGCACCCTTGCTTAGCTCCCATCTCTCCCTGCTCTTTCCCCTCTCCACCTCCTCCGCCCCCCCCCCCCAGCACATTCCTGCCTGACAGCTCTGGCTTGTACCTGGCTCACTGCTGTCCACCTTGTTTCAATCAAGTAGGGGGGCAGGGAAGCGGACTGCTTGGCTGCACTTGTGAGGGGATGGGGGTTGGGAGCTTCACTTAATGCTCCTTCTAAAGCACAGGGAGGCAGCTGATGCCTGCCCTCAGGCCTTTGTGGTCTCCACTGCCTTGGACATTGGGACCTCTCCAGGCCAATAACCTGGTTACCCTTCCCCGCCCCCCTAAACAGAGACCTGTGCTGTCAACAACGGGGGCTGCGACAGTAAGTGCCACGATGCAGCTACTGGTGTCCACTGCAGCTGCCCTGTAGGCTTCATGCTGCAGCCAGACAGGAAGACCTGCAAAGGTAAGGGCTTTGCAAGAACAGGAGTGCAGATAGGGGGAATTGCAGTCAATGTCATGAGACAAAATATGTATGAACTGCTGTATGGAAAATGAATTTGCTCTGTAAACTTTCACCCAAATCACAATTAAAAAAAAAAAAAGTGCAGAGACCTTTGGCAAGGGGCTGAGGACGAGACCAGAGATAGGGTATGTATTATGGGACCATCCTCCTTATCCCCCTGGAGGCTATCCTGATTATAAAGACCAGGATGTGCCTAAGGGTTGTCTCCTGTCCACCTTTCCCATCTCCATTTGTTCCAGGAGTACAAAAGACCACCCAGTTCTTTGATGCCCTCTGCCACCACCCTACGTTGTCTCATTCTTATCCTACTCTGGGTCCCTAACCCTCTTGGTTACTGAACCTGCCATTTACATTTGTCCCTGGGTCTGGAAGGATATTTGAGCTGTGTGTGCATGAGGTCACAAGTGTGACTTCCATAACCTTCTAAACTACATTCTTCAAACCTTCCCAGTAGGCTCTGGGGAAATGATCTCTTCCCCTTTAGAAAAGCTGTAATGGCTAGAGAAGAGTGTGGCAATTAGGAGCACTGGCACTGGAGCCTGGATACCTACATCAAATCCAGGTCTATTTCTTACTACTCTGTGACTGTAGGCAAGTTACTTGGCTGCTCTGTGCCTTACTTTCCCCACAGTACTTGCCTCATAGGTTTGTTGGGAGGATTAAGTGAGTTATCATATATAAAGTGCTTAGAACAGTGTTTCACAATCACTAAACATTTTTTGTTGTTATTGTTATGGTATAATTTCCCACATTGTCCGTTCTATTTCCCTCCTTTAAATTAGCCAGGTCTAGGGAATGGAGCTCTGGTAGCATAATGGCTAAGACACTTGCCTGCTAACCAGATGGCTGGCGGTTCAAAACCACCAGCCACTCCTCGGAAGGAAGGTTGGGCAATCCTACTTCTGTAGTGATACTGCCTCGGAAACCCAAGGAGGGGTTGCTATGAGTCAGGTTTGACTCCACAGCACACAACAACAGGGAATGGAGGGAGAAAGGAAAAAGGGAAGGGAACCATACTGGAAGATAATGACTCCTTAGGTCTATGTCCCCTGGTCACAAGGAGTGGGGACTGGGAAGAGGACCAGGCTCCTTCTTTGTGTCTTTTGGCTCAACAGCTGCGAGATGGGGGAGGGCTGGGGCAGCAGGTCAGACAACCAGAGTTGAGAGGTTTCCTGCTGAGAAGGACTGTTGACAGGTATGCTAAGAGTAAAGTGGAAGGCTGCCCTCCCTGCCCCCTTCCCCAAGTAGGGGTGAGTAGCCTGGGTCCTGTCTGCCACCAGCTTAGGGAACTTGACCTCAGGAAGGAAGCAGCTCACCCGCCCCCCTTCCCTTGCTAGTGCTGAAAGCTGCCTCAGGCCTGAGTCTCTCCAGATCTCTCCCAGTCCAGCCCCCTGCCTGGCTCCCCACCCTCCCCCATCAGCTACCCAAGCTCACTGGCTCTCCTGAAGGTCCCCCCTGCCTGGCCTCTCTCCCAGCTCCTTCTTTCTGAAGGGCTGCCCCTTTCTAGTGAGTCCCCTCTGAATCCCACCTCTCCTTGGCCCCCTCAGGGCTCTTGTGATAGGCTCGGAGAATGGGCAAGGAAGGGATGAACCCTACCCACCAGGCTTTTTGGGAATGACCATCAGCTGAAACAGTGGCACTGAACTAGGCATGTACTAGCCCAAATAATCAAATGCCCACCTGCTCCCTGCTCCCAGCAGTTCCCTGAGGACCTGACTCTGGTCCCCACCTGTCCCCTTCTAAGAGGACTCATCCCAGAAGAGAGTGTTACTAATGGCTACAGATTCCCTGAACAGGGAAGAGTAGAGACAGGAGAGTGGAATCAGAAGAGGCAGGCCCAGGACTCTTCTAGTTTTCTTCTGTCTCTGTGAGTGTTGGAGGGATCTTGTCTTATTGTTCATTCCCAACCTTCTTCCTTTTATTCTCTCTCTACTTGTGTCCCGCTTTTCCTAGACATAGACGAGTGCCGCCTGAACAATGGGGGCTGTGACCACATTTGCCGCAACACAGTGGGCAGCTTCGAGTGCAGCTGCAAGAAGGGCTATAAACTTCTCATCAATGAGAGAAACTGTCAGGGTGAGCAGACCTGGGTTAAGGGGAAACCCTTGGGAGAGGTACTTGGGGTAGGAGAGCCAGAGGGACTCCATGAACATTATGGAGAGTCCATGGGCAAGTGTCGTGCTGCAGATTAGTGGGCCAGTTCTACACTACGGCATATGGCTTGGCAAGGAGGCATGAATTTTGCCCCAATTCCTATCCTTGGCAGGGTGTGACCTGTATAACCACACATGGTGGCCCTGATCTACAGGCACCAGATCTGTCAGCTCATGGCTCCAAGGACTCCAAGTAGAGCTGCATGAGGGGGTGGGTAGACATTGCTGCTGATCCTAGGGCGGGGCATGAGTAGGCACTCTGTCAATTCGAAGAGGAAAGCCAAGGCCCCTCACTAGGGACCTTCACTTGAGCAGTGGTCCCAGGGTCAAGTGTCTCAAGACAGTTTCAGTGGCTTGAATCCTTGTTTCTTCTTCCAGACATAGATGAGTGTTCCTTTGATCGAACTTGTGACCACATGTGTGTCAACACACCCGGAAGCTTCCAATGCCTCTGCCGTCGTGGCTACCTGCTCTATGGTGTCACCCACTGTGGGGGTAAGCCAGCCAGCTTACACTCCCACCACCATGGCCCCAAGCTTCTGGAGGCCAGCTGGGAGAGCAGGGCATCCCCATCGCTGCTCCCTTACCCACATCCTCTGTTCTCAGACTGAAGTCCCACAGTCAGTAGAAGTGGATGGTTTTAAAAAGTAGGTCAGCTTAGCCCCTTCTCAATCATTCCTTTGACTAGGGAAGCGATAAGGGAAGAGGTCCTAGGTTTGAGCTCTTCTCTGGAGTTAGTCATTCTCTGGATGCCCACAGCTCTAACCAAAGGTCCTCACTTAATGCCCACTCACTGGTTCCTACCCCTAGATGTGGATGAATGCAGCATCAACAGAGGAGGTTGCCGGTTTGGCTGCATCAACACGCCTGGCAGCTACCAATGTACCTGCCCAGCAGGCCAGGGCCGGCTACACTGGAATGGCAAGGATTGCACAGGTGGGCAGCACCCTCTGCTGGTCATAACTGGTACTGCAGTTTCAGGAGGCTGTTGGGACGATAGAAAGCTTGGAGTGAGGTGGATAGGGTAGATGATACAGCAATTTGAGTTGGAGACAAGAACTTTCTGGTAAATAATCCCTTCATCAGCCTCTGTGGGTGGAATAACAGTTACTGGGTAGCTAAGGCTGTTCCCCTAGATTACCCAACTGAGGGACAGGAATGCCCCATGTCCTCAGGCCTCTCTCCCCTCTTAAAAAAAAAAAAGAAAGAAACATTGTCATTGAGTCAGAAAAAGTCATAGCAGCCCTACAGAACAAAGTAAAAATGCTCCATAGGACTTTCAAGGCTAAATTTTTTACGCAAGTAGACTGCCACACCTTTTTCCTGCGGAGCAGATGGATGGGTTTGAACTGCGAGCCTTTTGGTTAGCAGCCAAGTGTGTAACCACTGCATCACCAGGGCTCCTTTTTCCCCTTTCTAGAGCCTGTTAAGTGTCAGGGAAGTCCTGGAACCTCGAAAGCCATGCTCAGTTGCAACAGGTCTGGCAAGAAAGACACCTGTGCCCTGAGCTGCCCCTCCCGGGCCCGGTTTTTACCAGGTATGTGAAGAAGGGTGTGGAGGGCTGGGGGGAGAGGGGAGGAAAGGCTGGCTGTTCAGGCAGCCCCTCTGCTACCCTTGGATTCTCCAACCAGTCAGTACTAGGGGGTGATCAGAGTTGTGATAGGCCCTTTCTCTCAGAGTCTGAGAATGGCTTCACTGTGAGCTGTGGAACCCCCAGCCCAAAGTCTGCTCCAGCCCGTGCCAGCCACACTGGGAACAGCACAACTTCCAACCACTGCCATGGTGAGCACCAGTCCAGAGGCTCTGTTCTGACCCTACTCCTTTTATATTCACCTTTTATTTCTCTTCTTCCTTAATTCTTTTGGCCTTTTTTCCTGGACCTTCTTTTGCTCTGTAATTCCCCAGCCTGCTGCCTCCCTCCCTCTGTCTCTAATGCTTGATTCCCTAACCTACTCTGCAGCCAAGCCCCAGCTCCACAGGGCCCAAAAGCTGTGCTGAGTTTCTCCCATCCCTCTAGAGGCTGCAGTGCTGTTGGTTAAACAACGGGCCTCCTTCAAGATCAAGGATGCCAAGTGCCGTCTGCATCTGCGAAACAAAGGCAAAATGGAGGAGGCCAGCAGGATGCTGGGGCCAGGTCTGGACTGGGGACCTCACCCCAATCTCCACCCCTCAGCTCCTCTTCTTAGCAAGATCTTCCCTTTTCCCCCCAAATTCACTGGCACCCTGCAATCTGGACAGAGCAGGAGAGGGGAAAAAGCAGTTGTAGGTATAAACCAAAACCAAACTCACTGCCAGAGAGTCAATTCCAACTCATAGCGACCCCCATTGGGTTTCCTAGGCTGTAAATCTTTATGGAAGTAGATCACCCCATCTTCCTTCCAGAGTAGCTGGTGGGTTTGAACCACTGACCTTCTGCTTTGCAGCCAAATGCCTTATTCACTAAGCTACCAAAGCTCCAGTTGTAGGTACAGAACCCAAAAATGCCCAAGATATCCCCACATACCCCAATTAATTAGGATCTGAGACTAAGAGAGGGCTGCATGGTAGTCAAAGTCAGAGATCTGGTGAGGTCTCAGGCAGAGAAGTGAGAGCTGGGATTGGGAATGTTCCTTGCCCCAAGGGGGTACCCTCTGGTTGACCAGGCCTCTCCCCCAGGTGGTGCCCCCTGCTCTGACTGCCAGGTCACCTTCATCCACCTCAAGTGTGACTCTTCTCGGAAGGGCAAGGGCCGACGGGCCCGGACCCCTCCAGGCAAGGAGGTCACCCGGCTTACCCTAGAACTCGAGGCGGAGGTGAAAGCTGAAGAAACCACAGGTGGGACTGAGGGTGCTATTGGGAGGAGGGCTGGTAGGGGAGGACTAGGGTGGGGAAACAGGCCCAGTATCAAAGGGAAGGGGTGGAGTCTGTACTAGGGACAGACTGTACCTAAGCCAAGCCCTGGAACTAATCCCTCTCTTACTACACCCCTCCTAGTTCCCAACTTTGCTTCCTTAGCTCTTGTGCTCATAGCCATCCTTTTGTTCTCTTCTTTCTAACTTATACCACCACTCATCACCAGCTGGCTGTGGGCTGCCCTGCCTCCGACAACGGATGGAACGGCGGCTGAAAGGGTCCCTCAAGATGCTCAGAAAGTCCATCAACCAGGACCGCTTCCTGCTGCGCCTGGCGGGCCTTGATTATGAGCTGGCCCACAAGCCGGGCCCAGTAGCTGGGGAGCGAGCAGAGCTGGTGGATGCCTGTAGGCCTGGGCAGCACCGTGCTGGAGCCAAGTGTGGTAAGGAAGCTTGCTGGGGAGCTGGAGGGCATGGGAGCAGGGAGGGCCCAGCTGTGGCCCAGCTCAGAGGAGGACCCTTTACAGCCTCAGTTGCATTTCAAATTGTGAGGCAGCAAGAACCTTCCTGCCTATTGACCTCCCCTCCTTGGGCCCCAAGCTGAAATCCAGAAGTATATCAGGTTGGGCCAACAACCCTCCTGCACACAGCTTTGGCCCCCATGTCCCCCAAGCAGGATTCCTTTTGTTCCCTGAGGAAGAGATTCTCCCTGAATCTGGGGGAGAGGGAAGGGGAATCCCAGGCCTGGGTGGTGGGAAATGGGGGGTGGGTGGCTAGCACGGCCGACTCTCCCTCAGTCAGCTGCCCGCAGGGAACGTATTACCACGGCCAGACGGAGCAGTGTGTGCCATGCCCAGCGGGCACCTTCCAGGAGAGAGAAGGGCAGCTCTCCTGCGACCTTTGCCCTGGGAGTGATGCCCACGGGCCTCTTGGAGCCACCAACATCACCACATGTGCAGGTGCCAGGGGAACAAACAACACAGACTGGGGTAGGGCGGGCACTGGGACGCCCACGGGCATGGGATTTCCCAAAGGGCAGGCCCAGGCTCCAGGCCATTCTCCTAGTCGACATCCTGTTCATGTGCGTCTGCTCCCTGAAACTGGGTGAGTCTATGGGTTGACTCAGGACCATCCCCTTCAGAGTTGGGCCATTGGTTCATTGCAGGTCAGTGCCCACCTGGACAATACTCTATAGATGGGTTCAAGCCCTGCCAGCCATGCCCACGGGGTACCTACCAACCTGAAGCAGGACGGACACTGTGCTTCCCATGTGGTGGGGGCCTTACTACCAAGCATGAGGGGGCCATCTCCTTCCAGGACTGTGACACCAAAGGTGAGAGGATACTCACCCTCCCTGGGGTTCCCCAACCCCAGCTGATCCAAAAAAACTCTCCAAGTCCCTAGAACAGATAAGTATGTTGCCATACCATCATCCCCACACTGGGAAAAAACCAGCTTCCTGACCAAGCACACTGTCCTGCTTACAAGACCCATCCTGGCTCATGACCAGTTCCAAGCCTGGGAATGAGGGAATCATTAATAGTCCCACTTACCCCTCTATGTGGTGAACTGGTGGCCCATTCCCTCAGCACCTCAAATGAGTTTATCTGTATAAGTTTGACACTGTGCTTAGTGCTGGAAAGAAAAGGACTGGCACTGTAGCCAGCTACTCTGTGAAATTTATTGTTCCCTGGGGTTGAAAAATTCTGGTATGCCTGGGAAAGGACGGGACCCTGGAAAGAACTTTGGCATCCTTGATCTGATTCTCCATGATAGGAATGTCTTTTCCATCCCTGCCCTAGAACTCTCACCCGACCACCATCCTTGACTCCTTTCCCTTTCCCTGCAGTCCAGTGCTCTCCTGGGCACTACTACAACACCAGCATCCACCGCTGTATCCGCTGTGCCCTGGGCTCCTACCAGCCTGATTTCCGTCAGAACTTCTGCACCCGCTGTCCAGGCAACACAAGCACTGACTTTGACGGCTCCACCAGTGTGGCCCAGTGCAAGAGTACGTGGCAGGCCAGGCTGTGGAAAGAGGGTAGAGAGGCTTCGGAGCAGCGGGTAGGGGAAGAAAGGGGTCTAAGACAACCAACAAGGAATAGAGCTGTGGGTGGATGAGCAGGAAAGTCCCACTTCCACCTCTCCTCTGACCCACTCAATCTCAAACACAATTGATAGGCTGGGCGCAGCACTCTTTCTGGAGCTTAGGTATGGGGGAGGCAGAGACAGGTGAGATGAGAAGGTACAGAAAAGAGCAAGAAGGAAGGTGGACCCAGAATTAAGAAAGTTAGATGAACTAGAAAGGTAGTTGCCCATATGTCTGACATCCACTTCAGAACAATTTCCCCACTGATTTCTGGACTGACTTCCCTTCTCTTTCTTGCTTTATTCATTGGGGCCTGGCTGCAGATCGTCAGTGTGGTGGGGAGCTGGGTGAGTTCACTGGCTATATTGAATCCCCCAACTATCCGGGCAACTACCCAGCCAGCGTGGAGTGCATCTGGAATATCAACCCCCCACCCAAGCGCAAGATCCTTATCGTGGTACCTGAGATCTTCCTGCCATCTGAGGACGAGTGTGGGGACGTCCTCGTCATGAGAAAGAACTGTGGGTGGCTGCAGAGCTGCGCCAGGGAAAGGGAGTTGGAATCTGGTTGGGAGGGAGGAAGAGAAACAATGGACACGGGATGAATTGGGCAGTGAAGTTAGAGATCCATGAGGGCAAAATAGTGAGGAAGGCCTTGAAAAGAGAGAAGTTAACAAAGGAAAAAAGTAAGGAATGGTACATGTTCAGGCAGCAGAGAAGGAAGCTGATAGTGTTACTTGTGACACTTTCCTATCCTAGGATCTTTGCCATTTCCATCCATTCAAATGCCACATTTCTTTTACTCTGTGAGGGCCTAGATATCAAAGAGGAGTTGTAGACCAAACCTAGGGCAGCAGGGGAGAAGGAGAGAGAAAGAGAGAGAGAGAGAATGTGTGTGAGAGAAAGAGAGATGGAGAGGAAAGAGTCTGTTGGCATGATTCCTTCCCCCAACAGCCCTCATTCCAGAAGGGCTGGGGTAGCCTGATTTGCTGCTCTCCTGACCTGCTGCTTCCCTCCCCAGCCTCCCCATCCTCCATCACCACCTATGAGACCTGCCAGACCTATGAGCGCCCCATTGCCTTCACAGCCCGCTCCAGGAAGCTCTGGATCAACTTCAAGACTAGTGAGGCCAACAGTGCCCGAGGTTTCCAGATCCCCTATGTTACCTATGATGGTGAGCAAGGCCAGGAGAGTCAGGGAGGGGGGTAAGAAAGGAGAGGCTCCTGGGTCTTGGGAGGGGTCCAGGGAAACAGGTAGAGCTCCCACACTTCAGTCCCTCTTCTTGGCTGGCTTTGCAGAGGACTATGAACAACTGGTAGAAGACATTGTACGAGACGGCCGGCTCTATGCCTCTGAAAACCACCAGGAAATTTTAAAGGCAAGTAGATATTAGTAACAATAACTAGAGCCAACATTTAACGAGCATGTAACAGTGTATCAGGCAACAAGCTAAGTGCTTACATGAATATTCTCATTTGATAGACACAATAACTCTAGGAGATAGGTGCTTTCATCATTGCTATTTTATAGATGAGAAAACTGAGGCACAAAGAGTTCAAGAACTTGCCTAATGGTAAAGCTGGGATTGTAGCCCAAGCCCACCTGACTGTGCTAGATTCCAGATCCCCAATGTCATTCAAACTATGTTGCACCTTGGGGAAAACCTGGAAGAGGAAGGGAAGACAGATGACATGACCCCTATCTTTTCCCAAGATATACAAGGAAAATAAAGCATAGAAAAATGCTTTTGCATAAGTCCGTTCCTTCCCTTACTTTCTCTCTAGTCCACACAAAAAAGTAGCAGACCTAGCAGGGCATTTCTTAGAATGAATTAATATCTAGACCTCTTTTAAAGATAAAGAAATGTTTCCAATATTGAAGAAAGGACTAGACATCCTAGGTCTGTGGCTCTGTTTGAGAAAATCCTACTTAGGAAACTATAATCCTAGTCATAGCACCACCCCTTATAAATTACCACCCCTTATAAATTTGCATAAAAACTTTTGTCTTTATTATTAGTAAAATAATTTTTATATTATCCTAAAATAAATATCATAGTAACAAACATCTCCCAGAACTTGCAGACTTCAAAGAATATAATTTCAATGATGCTTTTCAAACATTTTTTAGGCATTTGAACCCTGATTTCAAATAAAATGTACTGTGGAACTCCAATACAGAAAGTAGATGGAAGTGCAGCTGTTCTGCACTAGAAAAAAACCAACCAACCACTGATACCAAGGAGAGAACACTAGAACCAGGAGATCTGAGTTCTGTTTCACACAGTGCCAGGCACCTAGGAGGCTCTCTACATAGCATGTTGTTCTTTCAGTCAGGGTGGTCAGGAAAGGCCTCTTGGAGAAGAGGCCTGATTGAGATAAAAGGACTAGCCATTAGAAGACCAGAGAAGGAGCAGTCTAAGTAAGAGAGCATGGGAGAAATTTGATGTGTTCAAGAACAGGGAGAAGACCAGTGTGGCTCAGCAGAGTGAAGGGGGACTGAAGTGGGACTAGTAGGAGATGTAGCAAGAGAATCAGGAGATCAGATGTAGGCAGCCTATGGGCTATGGAAGGGACTCAGGCTTTACTTTCAGTGATACAAGAAACAAAGGAAATATTTTGAACTAAAGGACATGATCTGATTTAAAACCCAAAAAGCTCACTCTGGCTATTCAGGGGGAGAACAGTCTGCAGAGGATGAAGAGTAGAAGCACAGAGACCAGTTAGGAGGCAATCAAACTAGTCCAAGTGAGAGATGACGGTGGGCTAGACCAGGGTGATAGGGGTGGAAATAGTGAGAAGTGGTCAGAACCTGGATGTATTTTGAAGGTAGAATTCACGGATTTGCTGTGGCTGTGAATGAGAGAAGAGTCAAAGATGCTTCCAAGAACTATGGCCTGGGCAATAGGAGGAGGAGGAAACAATGACCGAGTTGTATGATTCTAAAAAGGAGCAGGTGATGGGGATGGGAATCTAGAGTTCACCTCTGGTTATGTTCAGTTTGAGATGCCTATTAGACATTAAGAGGGGGTGTTGAATTGAGGCTGGTGTTCCTCTTTCCTTACCCCCATCCCTGAGGCTGACTTTGCTACTGCCATTCTCTTCAGGACAAGAAGCTCATCAAGGCCTTCTTTGAGGTGCTGGCCCACCCCCAGAACTACTTCAAGTACACAGAGAAGCACAAGGAGATGCTGCCAAAATCCTTCATCAAGCTGCTCCGTTCCAAAGTTTCCAGCTTCCTGAGGCCCTACAAATAGTGTCCCTAGACCCACAGGCCCTGGTTTTGAAGCTCCCAGACTCCTTAGCCCTCAGAGCCGGCAGCCCCACTCACAGACACAAAACTCTCTCCTCTTTTTAGAGAGAAAGAGAGAAAAATATCACTACAGACCAGGCACTCTCCCTTTCTGTCTCTATTTTCCTCTCCTTGCCTCTCTTCCTTTCTCTTTCTTTTTTCTACATGCTCCCTGGAAAAGCCATTCAAAGCTGGCTCTATTCCCTCTGAGGGGTGAAGGAACAGTACCCAAACTGCCCATTTCACCAGCTCACAGTCCTAGCCCCATCAGCTTGGAAGGGTGCTGGAGGCCCACGAAGGAAGTGGGTCTAGTGGGGAATGGGGAGGGGGATAAGGGGGCTTCTACCATTATGAAGAGGTGCCTTGCTAGTCAGGAGCCAAATCGTCCCTTGGCTGTGTCCCCCAGGGTGATTCTGATAGCCCAGGGTCCTGCCAAAGAAGGCTTTGACTTAGAGGCTTAATGCCAGCACCTCTGGGGCACACAGCTTGAGTCCTGGACCACACACAGTTGGCTTTCTTGCCTGTACAGCAGATCGCCTTCCTCCCCTACATATCTTCCTGGGGTCTACTCTATACAGTCTTACAGATGGCCCACACCACTGGGCTAGTGGACACCAGCTGAATGAGGAAGAGCAGCAGGCATTACCATGCTGAATGTGCCACTGTGATTCTCCGAGAAAAAGACTAGCTGTGCATGACAGAAACCAGGTTTCAAAGTATCACCAAAAAAAAAAAAGAAAAGAAAAGAAAATGTATCTAAAGGACTAGACTACAGAACAATTGGAAGCTAGCCTCAAACACTAGTCCCTTTTCCTACTTGTCTTCCCTGGCCCAGCCATCCCCGTACCCCCACCCAAGTGCTTCCTGGGGGAGCCTGACTCCCCTTGCTAAGTGCTGTCCTTAAAGAAACATGGCTGCTGACTGGAAGCCAGCTTGGGCCTCGCCCCACAGTTGTCTTTCCCTTATAATCCCAGGTGGCTTGTGGGCTCTACCAAAGAGGACCCCACTCTGCAGCCAGCCCAGAGCCACCTACCTCTGGCCCCAGGCCATGGGCGGCAAGAGGAATGTGTGTGCACTTGGCGAGCCTTCTGCCCACCTTGTCCACATCTAATAAGTGCAATCATTTTGAGTCTTTCTATGTTGTCTAGAGGGAGGGGTTTCTGTTTTTGTTTTGTTTTGTTTTTTTTTCTCTATTAGAACTACTCTATTTATAGCTGCCCAAGAAAGAAGTGTGTGTGTTTGGAGTGGAAGAAAAAAGGTTTTGAATCTCATGAACCTTGAGTGCTGAAGCATCTAATCTGTCTCTTATTCCTCCACTGGTGGCCACCCAGACCGCTAGGGTCCTCAGCTGGGGTAACCGAGGGCTATAGCTCAGAGGTACCTGATGTGTAGGACAAGAATTCTGGGGACTTGATGGAGCAGGAAGGAGAGAGACCTGTGTTTGTTAAACAAATCCTGCCATCCCCATGCCTCTCCATGGATTCAGCATGGACCTCATGATTGTGAAGGCCAGTGGAACCGGTAATTCTCTACCCTAAGTCGAGAAAATCTCCATCTTTTCCCTTCATCCTGTTTTTTCTTGATGCCCACATCTCCACCCTACAATGGAAGAGGATCAGGGGAAACCGCCTGGAGATGGAGTGTCTTAGGGCCCTGAGGCCAGAGCTAAGGCTGTGGGAACCAAAAATAGGAAGTTACCCAGGTATGAAGTTGGTGAAGGTACTAGGTGTTGCTTGACTTTAGCCACTCTGTCTTCACCTACCTGTCTGCCATTCCCTCTCAGAATTGACTTCAAGTCTAGTATCCTCAGAAGAACCAAGTCCATGTCCAATCCCAGATGCTGCACACACTACACCCTCAGTCCAACTGCTGCCTGTAAAATCACATTCCATCTGCGCCTTCCAGTCCCCCCAAAACTGTAGTCCTAGTTAATCAAATGCTACCACTTGATTCTTAGGCTACCATTCATTTCTAGGTGACTGTCCCAAGATTACTGTTCCCCAAAGAGACTTGACACTAAAGGGGGCCTGACCCCCAGGCCCCATGAGTAGCATTCACCAACCAAAACAGCCTTAGCAGTGGGTAATCAATGTCACATCTCATATCCATTAGCCAACCCCATGACCCTGGGGGGGTGAAGTGCCTGCCTGGCTTTGTGTCTCTGGGTCAGAGGGCTGCTATGAAGTTGCAAAACGGCTGCTTCTAAGCAGGAAAAATGGTCATTTGGTAGGAGTGTCTGCACTTCCTAGAAAGTGCCATGAAAACTGCTTTAATCAACTTTATCCACCAAGTACTGGGATTTCTGAGTCCCCTCTCCCTGCCATTTCACAAATCTCTTGGAAAGCCAAACAGAGTGTTTCCCAATTTATGCCTTTAGGGTCTAGCTTCCTTTGCCTCCCTTTCCTGTCACCCCACACATACACATAAACACACTTCCTCCAATCATTTATCTGCAGTTTCTGCAAATGATTTCCACAGTATGGAAAGTAAAAACCACTAGGCTTTTCAAGACACATCTTGGTAAGCAGATGAAGACCTGATGTCCACCAAGTTTAATTTAGATCATCCAAGTTGGGTGTTAAGAAATCAAGGAAAGTTTCTGCTGAACCCATGGAGGAAACTAGCCCTGTGACATCAAACTACGGGCTAAGTGGACTGGGAAATGACAAATCAACACTCAGGGAGTCTCTAGGCCTTTACAGGCCAGACAGGATAGGAGGTATTTTACCAGTGTAGGGAAGGTAGGAAGGTGGTATAAATGGGAACCCTTTGTGAACCAGCCTAGAGGCCTCTCTGCAGGATGGAGTGCTTATGGACCACAGTCCTGTGGGACCCTATTCATTTTAGTGCAAAACCTGCCCTGATCTGAGTTAGAATGGGAAGCCATTACCTACAAAAGCTCTAAAAGGTTCTTACATCCTCAGCAACCTGCCGATCCCTCTTTACTTCTCTGCCTCCTCCTTTCTGTGTTACCAGGCCAGGCCTATTCTCTAAACCCGAGATAAGTGAGTCAAGAGAAAACTAACCAAAGCTGCCTGCCCCTCATCTAGAAATTCCTGAATACTAACATGGAGCTGTGCCTGCTGTAACTTCCCCAGGATTTGGTCAGTTCAAGGTAATGGCTCAAATTTGTTGCTGTAAGTTCAGTAATACATTCCTGGCCTTCGGCCCTCAGAAAACTATATCTGAGAAATGCTGTTTCTGGTGACTGGAATGGATTAGGAGAGCATGTCTCAAAATGTCAGAAATGTTATAAAGCATTTAAACTTTTGTATTTGCTGCTTAACATCAATAAAATAGCCTAACTAGTGGAAAGGAAACAAAGTGTAACTGACCATAAGCAAAAAATAATACTAGCCTGCCTGTTTTCCTTCTTAAACACAGTAAGAAAAAAGTGAGAATAAACAATATGAGGATATCTTTAAATTTCACCTGTCTCAAAGGTAACACACCTTGTCCTTGGGCCACTATTTGGACTAGGAATCCTTTAAGAAAATATATTAGAGGGACTAGAACCCCTAGTTCATTTATCAGCTTATCTAGACAGCACAGATAGTAGCAGTTTGGACAAATTGAAAATTTTATTCCGTGTGAGTTTAACTGAAATTTCAGAGAATAATCATCACCATAAGGGAGGCTTTTTTTTTAAATGCCGAAGAAATTTCAAAATACTGTATTTATATCTGCCTTCCACCACTGCCAATATAGTAAACATCTACACAATCAACAATAAACGATGCAGTTGATAGAATATTTTGCACTTGGGGAAAAATACGTATCTGAACTTGTAAAAAGAAATGTCTGGATTTTGTATTGTCTTTTTTTATTATTATTATTATTATTAAAATACTAAATGAAACTCCTCAACCTAGCATCTTTTCCTCTGTCTCAATAACTTACCCTCCAAAACCAAAACCAAACTCACTGCCATCGAGTCAATTCCAACTCGCATTAACCCCTACTGGGTTTCCGAGAAATAAATCTCTGCAGAAGTAGACTGCCCTATCTTCCCTCCGTGGACTGGTTAGCAGTCAAATGCCTTAAGCACTGCATCACCAAAGGGCTAGAAAAAGCCTTGAGCAGACACAGTGTTTTCTGGCTTCTAAATAGGACTTACCCAAGTTTTACCATGATCCATCTTGTTAGTGATTTTAGAATTTGGAAAGGCTTGTCCCTTTGTCTATCTTTAAATGCAATATCAAGAATTAGCCCCAGGGACCATGGTCACAGGGGACATCAAGCTCAATAGCACAGCGCAGTATACAAAAATACTGTCTACGTCTTACTTTGGTAAGTAGCAACTAGGGTCTTAAAAGCTTGCAATTGACCATGTAAGATGTAAGATGCATGTAAGATGCATCTACTGGTCTCTCCTCACTCGGAGCAAAACAGAGTGAAGAAAATCAAAGACATATGGAAATAGTCCAAAGGACTAATGGACCTTGAGAACTTCAGCCTAGCTGACCTGAGACCAGAAGAACTATATGGTGCCTGGCTACCAATGCCAACCACTCAAAAAGGGATCATAATTGGAGATCTCGGATAGAATGGGAAAAAATGTGCAATAAAACTCAAAATTAAAAAAAAAAAAAAAAAAGACTAGGTTTACTGGTCTGATAGAGATGGGTGAAACCCCCAAAACTATGGCTCCAAGTTACCCTTTGGGCTTAGAATTGAACTCACTACCAGGACTTAACTCTCAGCCAAACTACAGACAGGCCAACAAGCTGAACACCTATACCAGTGAGATGCACTCTTAAAACAATCAACTATGGGAGATCAGAAGGGCAGCATTTGCACAGGGAGAAAGGCAGGAAGACAATAATACACAGTCAAGAAGGACACAGGGAAAGGGTAACCACAAGGAGGAAGTGGGAGGAGAGTTGTTACACTGGGGGGAATGTAACCAGTGTCACAAAACAAAATGTGGTATGAACTGTTGAATGTAGCATGAATCTACTTTATAAAATTTCACTCAAATCACAATTAAAAATTTAAAAAAAAGAAAAAAGAATAAACACACAAAGAATTAGCCTTGGGGAGGGGGGAAGGAGATGGGAGGGGAAGAGGTATTTGGGAAGTGTGAGAAATTCGGAGCATTGTTCCTCACTATAATGCAGGCCCCAAAAGCTGGCTGGGTCACACACAGGTGGCTCAGATACCTCCCTAATTAAGATGTCCCACTCTTAGCAAAGTACAAGCACTGAGGGCCACCCAAAGTCATTTTTTAATGCAGTACACTATTTGCCACCAAATGGTAGAATCCTGTAACACAGATCACTCAGCCACTACTGCCATTAGTACTCCTACAGGGCATGGGAAAGCAATCTCCAATCTCTTTTATAAATGAGCAGTACCAATATCTAGGCTCAGAGATGACAGATAAAACTAATTTGTTGCAATTATATAATCCCTTGGCATGAAATCTTACTGGGTTTAATATCTACATGATATAGCCATTTAAGAATATGACTTGAGGAACAAAGAGAAATTTGCCTAATTAAAATGTATGTTGGGTTGACCTATGTGGTAGAATGAATTATTTAATATGGCCCTTCTAGCCATAGTCCTCCATTTGGAGATGTATTGTAAATTCTAGCCTTTATACCTATGATTATGGTCCCATTTTGGAGTGAGCTGTCCATTATGTTAATGAGGTAGGATTAGGGTGTGTAAAGGCAGGGTTCTGATGTCCTCTAATTTGGAGGAAGAAGGGGAGTCAAGAACAACACCAACAGCCCAAGGCTGATTAATATGTGGCAGAGGTGTCAAAAGTATCTCCACCCTCCAAATTTCCTACCAATTCTGACACCAACTGTCCCCCTGGGACTCTATTTCTCTGCTAAGTTCAATAATCCATTGGTTGCAATGGCCACACAGAACTCACAGATAATACTCACAATTATAGGGTTTATTAAAGAAGTAACAGGTTACAATTCAGGATCAGAAACAACTCAAGATACAGTTCTTCAATTAGGAAAGCCTCCTCTCAGCCGTGCCATAGGCATGCTTCTCTCTGGTCTTGGCCTCTCAGCCCTGTGGCCCCTTAGCCTCTTCCCTGTTCAGGCAAGTGTTACAAAGTTCTTTTATCTCTGCAGGTAGGTGCCCAGAGAGGTATCTCACTCTGCCAGCAAGCTTGCTGCCTGAAGGTGCTCAGTTTTCTCACTCTGTGGGCCAGAATGCCCAATGCTCTGTCATGCTAGTCTCTTGGTTCTGCTGCCTCTGCTGCTACTGTTTCTCTGCTGCTGCTTCTCACCATCTCTGGTGTCACAGCTCTCTGTCTCATGGATCATTGAGGTTCAGCGCAGATATCTCAAGTCCAAAAGACATGTTCCACTCCTGGTTCATCTTTCTTGACGGTAGTGAGATCTCCCCTTTCTACCTTTGGGATGGCTCATTTTATGCCTAGCGGAATGGCAAAACTGACCACTCCCCATGTTGTTGTTGTTGTTATGTGCCGTCGAGTCGGCCCCGACTCATAGCGACCCCTCCTTGGGTTTCCGAGGCAGTTATCACTATGGAAGTAGGATTGCCCAACCTTCCTTCCGAGGAGTGGCTGGTGGGTTTGAACCGCCAGCCGTCTGGTTAGCAGGCAAGTGTCTTAGCCACTATGCTACCAGAGCTCCCACTCCCCATGTTAAGGTTCCATATACTTGATTTTCATGGTCCCACCCTCACAAGGGTATCATGCA